ATGTAATCTGCAATTAGGCTAACGCATGGTGAGAGGAACACATGTTCCAATCCTGGTGTTGGCATAAACCCAGTACCCAGGAGATGAGGGTATGGGTGTGTTTGGGATTTGAGTATATCTCTAGCTTTATGGGCGTACAACTGTACATGCACAGGTACATACCTGAGGTAACAATGTAGGTTACCGCTCTGCTCAGAGTCAGAGCTTCCACTGAAATCATATCGAAGCTCTATTTGTTGTTTTGAATGGCGCCTTCTACTTCTGCTATGCAGAAATGCAATAGAGGTAGGAAAGAAGTAAAATCTATGTATGTACATGTAAAAGCAAACCGTGGCTTAGAAATACGTGTCTATGTAGATTGAGAACTGCTTTTCTTGCTATGGTGGTACTTTGGTCATAATTAGATTGGACTGACCTCTTTCTTGAATTTTTTTCTTCACATTAATGAGATTCATGTCAGATATTTTCTTTTGTTTTTTTTCCCCCTAGGGTGGGTTTACAATTTTTGAAGCAAGGCTTTCATTTTCAATATGAAATTCTCAGGAGTGTCGATCAAAAGGAATGAAGAAACCTGAATCAAAATCATTTAAAGAAGGAAATGAAAAGCTGGAAAGCAATCTGGAGAGCACCAATTGGGTTGAGCAATCCTAGCAGAGAAATCACACCAATGAAATAATAATCTCAAAAACAAAACAATACTGAATTTCATCTGTAACCATCTCAGCTCAGCCACGATCTGAAGACAACTGAACAGACCTGAATCCAACACATTCCACTTTTCAAGGTGGATCTGGCTATTCAGTGGTTAAGGCCACAGTCAAAGCAATCAGAGAGATCCTGGCTCTTCACAACATATGAAATACCCCAGTAAAATGCCTTGTCCATGAACCTGTCAACAGTGACGAATACCTGTACATACATGTACATGTACATTCTTAATAGGCAGGAAGTTTGCAGTGGTTGTGGTTCAGTGTTGACCCTTGTTTCAACACAGCAACCCCAATTCTCGTTTTCTTCTTCTCACCAAACCCATGTTAGGCATTCGCCCATTCTGTGCTAGATAAATTTACACAAGCAGGCCATTATCGGTGGCTTCTGACAATTCCCTCTTTCAGGATCAGCGCGTCCTGATTGTGTAAATACTGACGCACAACGCTAAGCAAACCTGTGACAGTGAACTTTGGTTATTGATCGCGCCGACACTTGGATGCTGCGGTATGAATCGTGACACACTGGAGGGATCTTTAGACTCATGCCCCAATTAATAATATGTGCGGGTTTCCGCAGCGCAGTTGCTCTGAAGGTCAATAACACAGAGAACGACTCTTCAAAAACAAGAGAATAATAGAATTTAAATCGTTAAATCAACAAATCTCAGCAAATGTACATGAACGCACCACGGATGAGTCCATGAAATACCAAGAAATAGACACACATATACAGACCAATGATCCTCCACAGATAAAACTGTTAAAAATCAATCAGTCACCACAGATGGAATTTCTCATGCTTCTGAAACGTGCTGCTTCCTGGTCATGTGCAAATTGCCAATTATGGATGAACTGACTCCTATCCCCAACATCTCACCAATCCTGTTGATTGCCTTCCGATCTGGTCCCTGTGTTCTATGATTTGATATTCATGGGTTTCTCTCCCCGCAGAATTCTCTCTGCACTGGTATGATGCATCACCTTCCAACACACACATGTCCTGCTGTTACATTTTGTAATGACAGTCACCTGGCAGCGAATTGAACCTTGCAATCTGATCTGGGCTATTATTCCTATGATGGAGATGACTCATTTTCCTTTTTAAATTCCCACGACTACACAAGGAACTTGCACCTGATCCGTCCACGTAGCAAATTATAATTTTTCCCATGTTTAATTTTTTATTACTACTACGGCTAAAGAAACGGTTCACAAATTGTTGGTTGTGTAATGTGCAGTGCATGTGCAGCTGGATTTCCATTTCAAGGCCAATTTGGATGCTCAATATTCAACTGCTGGTTAGAACTGCATTTCTGAAAGCTTCTTTAAAATCTACATGTACAAACATTCCAGATAATCAAACCAAGAAAAGAAATCTAAGAACCCAAAATGGGTGTGGAAAGGATGTGAAATACAGGGTGTCCCAAACATGTATCTCCCAAACGAGTATCTTCAGCTCCCTGGTTGACATGCATCCCCAAGCAATGTGTTGCTTCACTGACTACAGCTCTTGGAGGGTGCAGACCACTAACCCAGTGAAAATTTCTGGCCGGCTCATTAGCATTAAAACTGCCCCTACAGTATCTTTTGAAAAAGGAGATTGTTTGGCCCCCAAAATGGTGAGATTGTGTAAATTGCTGCCAGGATGAATTCCCTGGGTTTTTGGGCTTTCATGTGAAAGCAGAATGGCTAAAAACTACGGTTGAAAAATGGTCCCAAGTGCCCGAGAAAGGTAAGGGTTGCCACTTGAAAAATGGCTGCAATCAGACATTGGAAAAATCACTTTTCAGGGGTGATTTTGTTTTGTGGGAATAATAAAAAATGTAATTGGTTTACCTACAAAATTGAAAAGAAATGGAAAGATTAGGGACTAGACAATAATTTCATTTGTGTTTCAGAGATCTCAGGGATGTTGGTATGCATGTTATTGGGTCCTGAACAGTGCTGATTTTACACTGTTTTCAATGGGCCTTGAATTAGCGGACTGTACCCCGGAGATGTTTGTATGATGGGCATTTAGCCCTTGAGATTGATGTGAGGCGACAGAGACAAGAAATTTGTGGGTGATTAAATGTGACGCCGACAAGAAGTGGGAATTGTACGAGTTGATTGTGAAATGCAAGCATTGTGGGAACTGGGAAGTAAATTTTTTCCCACAATGCAGCTCACACTTACATTCACCTCTCACTATTAATTAAGCAGTTTAAGGGTGATGGAAAAACCTGTGAATTCACCAATCATAGCCCCCATCAGGACCATATTGTGACCTGCCTGGCTGTCCTGATCAAGGACACGCAGAATGTACTTTAAAAGATCAGTTCTACGTGTACATCTGAACTTAGGGTAGACAGGAAGCACTAATGGACATGTGGTCAGTAGTTGTCCTTATTGATTAGTGGCAGTAATAGCTGTATTCAACGGTATTGATTAGCATTCCTGTCCTGTGGTATTGTCGCATTGATCGCCAAGGATCTCCCATTGTACGGGTATGCTTCTTTGTAACAGGGGCAAACAAACATGCAGAGATTGTTGACATCAACTCTGTCTGTGCATAGAACAAAAGTGGGCTCTGACAGTTACTGGTATGTGTGAAATTTATCAAAAAAACAAAAAACCAAAACGTTGTTTACACATGTACGGTGTGTATGGTGCCAGCACGTTTTTAAAAATGGTAAATGCCAGGAGGACTTAAAGTACCGCAAGTCTCATAATAGACTGATTGTCACGTGACCTACGGTATAGTGGGTATTGTAAATATCAACAAACACGGCGTCCACCCAAAGCAAAGTGTTTCATAAGTATCATTTACCAAAAAAGAAAGTAGATGGTATAGGTACCATACTCAGACGAATGTGCTGAGTATCATACGGGTGACTTGGCTTTATTGTTTGTAAACAACACTCAAAACACACCTTGCTATGGGGTTGATACCCACTGAAGGTCACGTAATTTAGCGGGTGCGATAGGTCTATTTCCGATGTACGGCTCAGTGAAAGCATAGCAGAATCTTCTTGCAATCTTATCCACAAGCTACATGAGTACCGGTAGCTTGTGCAATAAGATGGCCTTATACATGTACATAAAAATCAGGCGTTCTAATCTTTGCAACTGCTTGTACACGTGTACTGTAGTTGTCACAGAGGGGTACTGCAGGCAAAAACCCAATGATTACAGAAAATCTCAAATGTGGACATGGCCATCCAAAAACGATGATGTGCACTGTAAAATGCTTAAAGAAAAAATTGACAGTGCAAGTACAGTGCACGGTAATGTACATGTAAATTTGTACGATACCCGGTACTCGTACGTACGGTACATGTAGCCCATAAGTTCCCCATAATGTACAATGTAGCGGGTACCAGTGCTGGTACACATGTACAACATGCAATTACCTCATTATCATTACTAATACTCAAGCTTGAAGTTCACTAAGTAATACCTTCAGCGTCTAGTCTACACTAGATGATGGTAAATAATCAAGTTGTAAAGTCCCAGCAGCTACATCCACATCCTCTTCTCCTTGCCTCCTGTTCTTTCTCCTGTCCTCCAATTTTTCCCGAAGACCACTTAACGGCAAGCTATAAAAATGTGGCATGGATCCCATTTTTAAGGTTGGCAGGTCAATGTACAGGACATGCTTGTACACTGACGCCCTTGGGCTTCATAAATTGACCAAGTCCAGTGAACTTGACCCCAATCTTGAGTCTGGACGCTAGCCTTCTTGTGATTTCAAGAAAGGATGTGAAACGACGACAAAGGGTGCTACGACCATAAATTTGCCACGTGCGCTTAAATCATCCATAACCCTAATGCACTCATGGAAGACAGTCAGACCTTACCTGTATTGGTGAAAAATAGCATGGCATATGCTGTGTGTACATGCAAGTCGTCCAATTCCTTGCAGCTTACAAAACCTTTCAGTCAACAATGGATCAAATATTGAAATGTGTCTGAAATATTGGAAAATTCCTCCTATATATAGTGATTAGTGGTACATGTATATAATTAAACTCATTGTACAACCACAACATACATGTACATGTACATGTATGTACATGTATCTGTGTACTGCAGTGCATAGATTGCACATGTGCAATGTCTGCATTATGATGTACCATAATTAGCCACTGATATAATTTCCTATGTACACCTGACACCTACCGGTAGTCCGTCACAGATAAATGAAATGGAAATGCCCACTATGAATCACATTGTACATTGACCCATTTTTCCAAACATGGCAATGTACAAAAATGCACACACGTTGATGAGCAACAGAACAGCACTTACCGTAAGACTGAGCCATTACTGCATGCAGAGATTTGGCACAATTTCACAATCCTGAGGATGTGTGCAGGTTATCCAGTGCGTACTGGTCAGCTATGACGTAGTTAGCAATCAATCAGCAGCTTAAAGGCTTTACATACATGTAGGTCCAAACCAAAACTCCTTCCTGCCTGCATGTGTGGATTGGCAGATTCTGGTCCTTAATCTGCGTGGATTGCACAGCAGACAGTGAGGGAGTCATTTAAAATTTGAGGCGATCGTACCACCGTGTCAGAGCCGTCTCGCCGTACAACGTACGTTCCACTTTGGTGGGCACCACAGCAGCTGATGCTCCAACTCACATACGTTCAGCCCCTTACTGGAACTGTTAAAGGGGATGGGATTCCAGGTAGCCTATTGTTCCAAATTGCAGATGTGAATCATCCCAGCTGACCGTACTGTGTACACATTTACTCAGTGGCTGGTTGAGTGGGCATAGTTAATGATCACACTGAGATATTGGTGTGTCTGAAACACTGCCTGTGGTGGCAATATACTCAATATCTGTCCAAACAAGTACATGAGCATGTACTGTACCGGTACATGTGACCAAGATAAAGATGCGTTGGTTCAATCAGAGGGAATGCTGGGAAATAAGTAGGTGATATCTGTGACTCCGCTGGTATTCCAACAAGTGAAACAATTCTCAATGCAAGCAGAAACGAAAAGGTTCATCCCTAACTCTGCATAAGAGCAATGATGTAGGTCTACGCAATCTGAATGCAATTATCACCAAAATGAAAGACACATACAGTGTATCCAGTGGCATCAGTCAGTTGGCAAATCTGTCAGGCTGTCACTGAACACATTTATCTCCTTGTGGGGTAATTGCCAGTGAGGGTATCCAATTATTGCTCGTGTAACCATCTGCAGACACAAAATGCGTGATGTGCAATACTCGGTCAACACTTGCTGGCAATCTTTTCTTTCCCTACCCGGTACGTGTACCTCCACAATTCAACTAATAAGTTGAGATCTACATCCACCAGTCCACAGAAAAGTCAAGCACAGGTGTATCCATTGGACAGTATCAACAAACTGGCCAGGTTCCTCACAATCACATCATCCACAATGAAGCAGTATCCGACAAGAATAATGACACCGACCGAGCTGACGCCGAAAACACTACATGTACAAGTGTGTACGTGTACAAATGCTACAATGGAGAGGCATGCACACTTGGATCCTCCCGTCCCAAGAACGAGGTGTGAGAATCCACAAAGACATCCGATGTCATCCTAGATTACAAAAGAAATATTCTCCTGCTCAATTCGGCTCCAGTTTGTCAAAAATCACACCACAGCACAGGAAGGCAAGAACCTCAATGGCTCACATAATCAGGGGGAGTCAGTTTTCCAGTCCACCGATCTCTGCACTGTGTAAACCCAGTCAATGGCATTGATAGGGCCGACTGTTTGTTGTGTGTGTTCAGTAAATGTGAGCATGGCTGTGCAGAGGGCCAGTGACAGACTAGTGGAATGACTCACAAGGGTGTTTTTAAGCCTCTATTGTTCTTTTTTTTTCTGTGGTCAGTGCAACAATACACTGCCTTGTGTGGCAGTGTGGCTGTGTTTACCTTAGGGCATTATAACTGTGAGGGGTGCAGATTTCAATAAAAGCTAGGGCTTAATGAAGTGAACTGGAAACCACTATAGCCCTGGTTAAATACATGTATAGTAGTATGCTTTCAAACTCCAATTTACACATTTGAAGCAAGATATGGGACAGAGAGAACCCCCCCGCCTTTGTGTTGGTCATTGTTTGATCCAAATCTCAGGAATTCTTTACAGACTTCTGGGGGGGATATGTTAGGTAACGATAGTCTACAGTGTGTATAGGGATTGGACAGGTAAGGGGGGGGGTACCAATCCGTCCCATATCTTGCCTGGTACAAATTTACCTCTGGATTTTCCTGAAATCTAAAAGCCAATAATATGCTACAAATATACTTAAATCTGGCATTGTGATGAATCCCTAATATGTTTATAAATGAGGGCATTTGTTTTAAAATATGTAAAGGATATACATATACACGTACCAAACTCAGTAAAGATCCCCTTATGACATGTAATGCTATTGGAAATCTATTTTGGGATAGATTTCCTTGAATGTGAAAATTGCATGTATACAAAAAGCCTGCCTGTTTGGCACATAACACTGCATCTCTCATTAGTTAGAAAAATGACTATTTTTAGATCATGATGTAATTCCTGAAACACAGGTTTTCAACCCTTTACAGAAAATAATTTTCCATACAGATGGAACTTACAATGTGTCTGGGGTATGCAAACCAAGAGACCATGTGATGACCTTGGGTTGGTCTGAAGTCACTTTTGAAAGAAGGGCATCAATGGAGAGACTGGAAAAAGGGTTGAAGAGGTTTGTGAGGAATGCCTGTAAGGCCAAGCTGTGGTCCTGTGATTGGATTACACCCTACTGTGCTTGTGCACTAGAGAAAAGCTAAACAGGGTCATTAGGGGGAAAAAACCTCTCTGCAAGGTACATAAGTCTGGGGAATTGGTATGCTCAGAATCCAGACAGCATTCATCTGGGAATGTGAGTCTATAAAGTCTGTTCATCAGGCCTAATTCTGTATTGATGGTCTGCAGGTCTGGTGAATGCCTCCCCAAATGGACAGTGAGAAATAAAAAATCCTTTGTTTTTCCATTTCCTTCATGAAAACACATTGTAATAGATCTAAAAAGATATTAACAAATATGTGATGGAAAACTACTGTTGTGATAAAAACATACAAGTCTAATACTAGCTATCAAGTCATAAATGTACATGTGAATCAGAGACTATGGAGACCTTCCTTCACAACAGATCAGTCAATGCATTCTACCTCCATGGTCAATGTGACTAGACTTCTGGTTTGACTTGTTATGAACTCTAGTTTCGTTTGTAAAATGCTGAATAATTATTGTGCACAAAACTGCAAAAAAAACCAATTTATTATTATCATTTATTTCTGGTAATGACACTAAGGATTCCTCAAAAGCACCCTAGGCACTGTAGCTCGCACGCCTGGAGAAACCTGTAGAGAGGAGACAATGAGAAGCAGTTACAGTTTTAGAGGTGGGAGGAAAACCCCAGAGGGATGTTCCGGGTAAACCCATGGAATCAGGTAGGGACTGACAACCCAATCCACATATGGACCGAGCTGGTAATCATACCTTGACGGTTGGACCCCAGAGATGGAAGGTGAGGAAAGAGCCATTACACCAACCCCACACTATGTCATTCCAACTGGCCGAAGAAATGTTTATTTCACCACGGTAATGTGTGTATTCGCTCTGACTACATTGTACATTTATTTAATTACACCATAATACATACATGTACATGCACTACTGGCAGCACTGATGTTTCAATGGCTCTTATGCCTGAGCCTTTTATTAACCTGTGGTACATGTTCCGGTACCTTGGTGAATTTTTCCTGTTGTTGACCATTGTTGATTTTGCTGGCAGGCTAAAAGAAGTGGCAAGGCTGCATGCGACTGAATCATGGTATTTTTGTTAAGGACAGCCTCACACTCAATCCTGTGAGTGCGTTGAAGTAATAAACCTTCATCACAGTACCGCTTAATTGGTCAACCAGGGAGACCTTTGGTCAGCACTCAGCAATGGTTGGCGGATGAAAAGAAAACTGTGCAGTCAGGCTTGGGTCCTAAATGTCATGTCACTCACAGCATGGGTCTAGGACCACAAACCTTGGAGTTTGTGTACTTTGGTGGATTATAATAAAGTCCCACTTTAGATGCAGTTCAATTATGAAGGGAGACTAGGCCACCTTCTAAATTGTGAAGGTTTTTAATATCATGTGTGAAGTTAAGGTTGTCTGCATGTGGCCAAGGACCACACTGATGGTAAACATGACCAGGCATGGCTTCAAATTACACGTGATGTACATGTAAGTTTGAATTTCTTTATATGAATAAAACATTGGCCCATATCAAATAACAATTCCAACTTAATCTTATACAATTAATATCATTAAAAATCCTGACAAAGTGATTTTTTGCACATATTCATGACAGCACATGCAAATAGAGAAGCTTAACAGTGAAAATATCCGCCCCTTGGTTGAAGCTCTTGTACACTACAGCAGGTGCAAATGTTTTAATTAATCATAATCACGGTGTACACAGCAAGCCTACATATTCAAGTACTCTAATTTGTCTTGGCATATCTGCGTATAGTACTGGTACCTAAAATGGAAAGCAAATTTAATTCAATACAGAACCTTTAAGGTCCAAGACTTAACACACTGCATCACTAAAATGTGTGCATGTGAGGAACGGGGGGAGGGGTGCTGTGGGTGCTGTGGGTGCTGAAGCACCAGTAACTTTCTTGGACCGGGACGCTGGTGTTCAAAATAGCACCGCTAACTTTCACCATGTTAATCCACAAACATAATCAAACTCACCAATGTCAGAGATCCACCGAAAAATCCTATATACTAATGAGTTAACAACCTCGGCACTCCCTCAGAAAAATGTTTTCCCACAGGCATGCATGTACTGGTGCAGTCCTTCATATACTAGTAATCTGGACTACTATCAGAAAATGAAGACCAGGTCCCTTTGAAGGAAATTCTGAATGGCGCTCTGCAGTTTTCTGATGTGCCACAATTTCTGAGGCTGTCCTCCAGCAAGGCACTTAACCCTATCTTCCTCCCTCCACTGAAGTCCCAGCATAACCAGTTTCCCAGCTAATGGAGGGCCATATCAATCCGAGGGGAGATGGAGGGCAATACTCCCAGTCACTTAAAAGCCCACCGAGAAACTAGAGAGATAAGCGGGCCAGCTGATGATGATCAACAGGGCTCCCGGCTGGCAGACTTTTGGACTTCCTAGCGGCCAACCCACATACATGTATTATTCTCCTCCTTTCACGGCATGTGATGACACTAATCCGCCTGTCGTCCTCCAGCCATTCCAGGCTGGCCAGATTCCTCCTTGCCTCCTACTAAGATAGGAGGCCAAGAGAGAGTCAGTCTGGATGTTATTTTTTAATGTCTGCTGGTGAAGGATGGGAGACAACTGCTCTCCTTCACTGAAGTCCACTCCCCTTCTCCTCTATTTTTTTTTTTTAGTCTTGTCTGCTGAGAGGAGAAATGTGATCGAATGGGCTGTGCACAGCACGGTCGAAAGGAACTGGGTCTTGCTATTTGCGAGCGAATCAAGAGGGTGCCACATACATGAACGCTATGATAAAAATTTATAATCAGGCACAGTTCTCCACCAGTTGTTTAGGGAAGATGGGGTCTGAAATGCACTTTTTGGAAAATAGAAGAACGGCCTAATTGATAATGTTAAATGTTCCCTGAACAGTACCTGGGAAAGTAAGAAAAATCTCAACACAAGTCTGACTAAAATCGGGCTCAAAAAAGGATTCAGAAGAGTGGTACTCCCGGAATAATCTTCAATCTTCACTGTACACATGGACAATTGTACACTATGCTATGCAAGAGGTGCTAGGGGAAGATAAACTAATGACATTTAGGTGCCTCATTTGTACAACTGCACCTGTGGCCAAGAGCAGACTGATGATGCGAGACAACAGGTGCTCTCCATCTCCAATGGCTCGGAGGAGCTGACAAGGAATATAATCATCCAGAAATGTGGCCCTAACGTAATGAGCTACAAGCAACCAGCAATGATGGACTAGGAACACTGGGGCACTAAACAGTGAAGTGACCTCATCACAATAAACTTTACTGCTGGTTGACACATAAAGCCTCATCACTAATGATACCATTTCAATGTTCATGAACCTGTACTGTGTATCCTGCACTTTTTCACGTTGTCAGTTTTTCATTTAATGTGAACATTACTGTAAAAATGACGGACTTCATTGCCGACGCTTCGAAGAATTTCAAAACAAGTCATGAAATCCAGTACCAATATTTGAGTGCATCAAAAGATTTTCCAGAATTGATTGGAATATTGCAATAGGAAGAACTGAGATGATGGCAGATCTACCGGTAAGGGGCGGGGCGGGAAACAAGGCCACGCCCCTCCCTTCAATAGGTTTCCTTGTCATTTTCAAAAATGTACTGAGGATGAGTTGTGAGAAATACAGTATTTCACTTTCATTTCTCCCAAAGCACGTAAAAGACCCTAAAATTAAGCCTCGCACCCATGAAAGCTCATAAAGAGTTGCTAAGTTTTAACTGGCCCCTTCACCTATCCCCTCCCCCATGGTTTCTGGATCCATCCTTTTTGAGATAAGAACATTATGTGACTGTGGGTCTCTGTTTCAGATCATGATTTTGATGGATGAGGCCCATATTCCCTCCCTCTGTCACTTTCAGGGACGACACGGTGATCGCTGTTTGAAAAAAAACCAAAGAACGAAACAACTATCCACAGCTAAACCTCCAAATTGG